TTGGCAGTTCCAGGGCTGAAATCATCCAAATGATTCTAGTGAAGGTGTGTGGAGTTGAAAAATACAATGGAGCACTTCCTGTATTACACATGCCGTCACAAGGTGGAAGTGGAGTGTTTTCAGTTTGAGAGAAGAACATGTGACTGAAACAAAACACAACTCCAAGTATGTTTTTGACGAGGAAAAAACATTAAAACATAGCTCAGAAAATAGCGTAATATGACAATTTAAAGATAATTCTCTAGCCATACCAAGCTGTAACAAACCCATCTGATCCTTTACCATAATTATAATAATAGCACTATAAAAGAACAATGCCAATTTGAGTAGTAGTACACTTCTGGTACTAGAACAATGGTATACAGAAACCCATGTCTGTACCCATAATCAATCTCCAATGGCCCGTGTAGCATATAGTCTGCTGAAACATACGGCACGGAGCTTTTGTCAGGTGAAACAATCCTTGAAGACAGCTGCTCTCGTAACATTTGGACAGTTACTGATTTGCGCGCACGCCGACACTCCCACCGCAGACGTGACAACAGGTGCGCGTACTTTCTCAGGACAAATAACTTTGAATTGACGAGCGATTGGCGAGGTTTGACGCTCCCAAGACAGTTCTGGAGTGACAGATGGGCAGGGAGGTTAGCGGTACTACCAAGCTCAGATCAAGTGCTTAGCCTGGCACGTATCTGTAAGAGTGTGCAGGCTGGGAATAAAATGTATACATACTCAGATCACTGGGAGGGCAAAATGTTGCTCCTTTATTATTGTAAATCGACAATATGATTTAAAGTTCAAATATTGTTAAGATATGGCCCGTATTAATGCTATTTTCTGATTAGTTACTTAAATTATACTCAAAATAAAGGTGTATTCTTATATTTTTATTTGTCAAATATTCATTTTTGTGTACAGTAGAGGAGTTTTGGCCCACTGTACGACATGTTGGCAGTTATGGAATTCCCTAGTTTGATGCAATGGTTTCCATTCAATTAAATTTGAAACCTAAAAAAAAAATGATGTGATTTCTATAATGACCTTAACTGTGTTTTAGGAAAATTTGTAGTCTAACCTGTCATGGGCACTTTAAAGTGGAACAGAGGGCAAATTAATAATGCAGGATTACTCAAATACATGTGAATAAAATGAATGTCAATGTAATGTTCTTAAGACACATGGAAACCCCAACACGTGTGTATGTGTGTGTGCTTGTGGCCGACATGAGAAGTGGTAGCTCCCATAAGGTGGACTTTGTTCCACTCTAAGACCATTCAAGCCTGCTATGCTGTGTTGCTCATGTGAGGATAATCTGACAAACTCAAGTCTCCCTAAAGCGTTTGTGTAAAGGCACAGGCACAAAGTGGTGGCTTTGTTTTGGAAGATAGTTACAGATTGGTGCGCTCATGTTTCATAATAATCTCACTGTAACGTTAAAGTCAGAATATAATCTAGTTAGCAACACTAACGCAATACAACTTAATCATAATGTTATACAAACACCATCTTGAGCTCATAATTCACTTTTGTCCAATCTTATTATACTACATTGTATAAATGGAACGGGTATTGTATACTAACATTTATACTCAACACAATGAGGCTGTTAGATGAATGCATAGAATAATAAAGGTACATTATATATATGTTTCTTTTGGGGGTTTGCTACCTGCTACCTATCTTCATGATTATTGATTTGCCTGACAATTTACACATTATGGCATTAAAGGAGCACTCTGCAACATTCCTAGGGAAGGGTTCACTGCCTGCTTGTCTCAATGGAAAAATTATGGCTTTGTCTGGAACAGACATGTCAGACTCATGTCAAATTTGACCCAGGATATAATTACATTTGGCCCGCAAGATCGTCTCAAATATGTATTAGAGCTGGTCCACCCCTACAGATAAGCTAGAGAAACATTATTTATTTAAAGTTTTGTTATTATTTGATATTTTTTGCTTGCTCTGGATTCAATATTTAAGTAAAACTATTATTAAACATTTAATTTAATAAGAAAAAGTTTAACATTACATATCTTGAAAGAAGAGAAAACATACTGATGTTGTTGACATTTTTCAATAAATATTTAGTTTGGCCCATGACTTAGTCCCAGTTTTTAATTTTGGTCTCTGTGAATTTGAGTTTGACACCCCTGGACTAGAATGACCTAAATCTAGATCTAGATCTAAAGAAAGCCGCCCCTATTCATAAAAGGAATTACTGTACTTTTGAGCTATAGAAATGCCCATAATAATAAATGCTAGATGGATGTTTCATGTCATATCATGGAACATTTCAGGCAAAGCAATAACATCTCCAATAACATTTTACGCAGTGCATGTTTAAACTTATTTACTCTCTGTTATTTAATTAGACATGTTTTTATTGTAGAAAAATCTCTCAATAGAAGTGCTTAATAGACAGCAAAAGCATCACCATGAAGACAAGCAGGTGGCATACCCTCGATCAGAAAAGTTACATAATGCACCTTTAAGAGTAGTTATTGATGTTTATTGTTGTCTCATTGTGTATTTTCATATATACACAACAAAATCATGTTGCTCCACTCTTTTCAAATCATTCTACACTGCATATAAAAGTTATGATCAAATTAATAGTCAAAAAATACCCTAAATTGCAGTAGCAGTACCTCTTTTGTAGTACTCACGAGCTCTACAGTCTCCTTCAGAATCAGTGAGCAGAATAGTGACAAGACTCTGATGCTGACAGAGGAGAGAAAAGTCTTATTATGTCTGCTGTCACTATCTCTCCTCTTCCTCCTCCTCTTCCTCGTCTCTATAAACTCTTCATCTCAATATCTCTATACACCTCCCCAGTACTCCTGCACGATATGAGAAAAAGTTTTTAATAGACTCTTATTTCAGAGTCCATTGTATCTGGGAGCCACTTTGATTTTAGATTAAAGCCCCCGGACACCATTTATTTTGTAAGAAGAATTGGGCATTATAGTCCAACCTATAATATACGCATTAGATTACCAATTTTGGTTCATTTTTGTAGAATTTAAATCATATATTACACAAAGTCCTATATATATTACACAAACTTTACTCTTGTGAGCTCCAAGCTGTGTTGTAATGTTGTTACCTCAGTCTAAATATGCAGGGTTGAACATGTGTGAATGAAACAAAACACAACTCCGGGTACATTTGTGATGAGGAAACAACATTATAGCATCAATCAGAAAATATAGTGTAATACGGGCCCTTTAAGCAGTGCCTTGGTGGAGTTTGGAGTTATCTGGCTACAGTATATCAGATTTTTTTTATGTATTACCTACAATTTTATGAAGCTCCCTCTCCTCAATGTGTTTGGTGAGATGCCGCGACACAGACTTCTACTAAATTTTAAAGGTCATATACTTCAGCTATTATTCACAAGGCTCCAATTTAGCGGTCAATTTTTATTCTAAGAAGCGAAAAGAATTCTGTCAGTGAATACAAACTGGATATAAGAGACTATGAGGCCTTTTGATGAGTGGACAGGGCTAATATACGTAGATTTCACGTAATAAAAAACAGCATCATTAAAGTAGACAAATGCTTAAGTTAACAATACAATAAAAAGTATGCTTGCTATGCTGTTATGAAGGCATAATCATAATACTATGCTGACAACAATGTACCATAATTGTACATGAATTATAAAGCTAATATTCCAGTAATGGAGCTCAAATGTGATTGCCCACCCCCAGTTCCCAAAGTAAATTTCTCATTCATCTTTCTCTCGTCTTATATTAAAAGTTCGAAAGCTTCCTCACAGCTACTCAGCTCAAATTTTTTTCTGAAACTTTATAAACTGCTAAAAAAAAAACGTTATTAAAGCATTTTGCAGAATCTTACGTTTTAAATGTGAAAAAAATGAAAAACTGTACTCCTTAACTGGAGTGAGCGGCCACAGTTGAGTTCCACAGCCAATCATGTTTTGTGGCAATCCTCATACATTTTAACCAGATACCCTTCCTGTCAGACTTTTGAGTGACACAAGCAACTATAAGCAACACCCATTTTCATGTCTTAAATCTGTGCATTATACTGAATTGACAAAACACAACAAAAGCAGTCAGGTGACCAAAGTAGCCCTGAATGAAATGCTTAAGAGATACTACACTAACAGTACTGATAGGTTTACATTTTACACAATGCAGTACAAAATCACACACCATTATATACAACACATATTCATAGACAGCCAACTTATGATTCATAACGCAGCCTTATTTGTTTGGAACAACTTATCCAATCTTCGTCCAAGTCTCATCGTCTGGGCTCTTTCATCTTTTCACTTTGAGCCACTTTCGCCTGCACTGTCCACACGCTCATTTATCCATCCACATAATGCCCTGAGTCAGAGATAGCAAGACGCCCGCAAAACTACAATGTCATTCTGTAATCCTGTTTGGAGCTGATACAACACACAGAAAGGACCAGAGATTGGGCTGTCTAATAAACTGAATAATATTAATAAAATGTGGAGTAAAATGGCTGCTTGGATGATAGCTCTAAAACGCAGACATGGAGAAATGCAGTCGAACAAAAGATAATCAATTTTTAGCAACGACTGAGCACTGTCCATCTGGCTTATGCAGTAAATAGGGATGGATCAGTATGACACCGGTATCGGATATCAGCACTTCAATTAAAGATTTTGGTGGATTGGATATTGGCTTCCAAGATATCAGTTCAGCCAATATCCCAACATCTCATAATATTAAAAGTGTATTTTTACAAAGCTGTTCTGTAGTTACAAAACACATTTGAATACATTTTCTACCTCATGGTTTGTGTTTAAAGGAAATAAATGCTATTTTCAGACCCTGCATATCCAAGGCAAAGTATTGAACAGAAAAGGCTCGACCAGTGCATCCCTAGTAATAAATTATTAACAACTATTAAAGTGGAAGAATTAATAACTGTTCGATGTATGAATCAACTAACAAAATTTAGTTAATGGCATAGTGTGTAGTACCCAGACTGACCTGTTGGGAGTAGCGCTGCTGGGTCTGGATCTGATAGTGCTCCTCAGTGGTTACCCGGGTAGCAGAGGAGGTTGCCCGCGGTAACGTCTCCACCTCCTCGATGGCCTCCATGGAGATGCTCTGAGGGAGGACCTTGAACAGTGACGTCACGTACATGATGATGCTCTTCTTGTCCGGGTTGGGCACAGCCACATCTGAAATTAGAAAAGTATGAATTAAAATAAGTTTATGCATTTTAGGGTCCCAATTTCATTTTTATTTTATAGAGTAGTTGGTGTTAAAGGTGCATTGTGTAATTATCTTTATGGAGACCAAACCAGACCAACTTACTGGTCAGATCTGGTGAGAAGCAACCCCGCTCACAGTAAGAATGCTTGTTTTTCTAGGTATTTTTGAGCAATAAAACCACTTGTAACTGAACAAATGTAAAGTAGAGTTGTTTAATGTCATGCCATGGAACATTGTAGGCAGATCAGCGACATTTCAATTTATTGATAAAACCGTAACGGGTTGATTCATACACATTTTTCTTATCTTGTCTGACTAAAAATACATTCTACTTTTATATTTCAGCATACAACTATAACTCATCTATCAGTTAGAATTGAGCAAACTCTACTGCAAAATATGAATGAAATTGTCCACTAAATATAATAATGTTTTTGGATTTCAGTCCATGTGGCAACTGTTCCAACATCTGGTCAGGCGTGTGGACAGGAGCACCACCCTCCCTGCTCATGAATCTCAAATGGACTTGTGTATTCTGAGATAAGCAGAGGTTTAGAATGCCCAAAAGCCACTGTTTAGAATAAAGGCTACTACTGGCTCCAGGGCAATACTAACCCAGGGAGATTGCAGTGGGACATAAATAAAAGACCTGAACTAAACCAGGGTTAAACCAGGAGAAAATCAGGAGTAAACCAGAACAGCTAGGAAAACAGAATGGGGGCATTTCTGGCTTATGTCTTATGTTTTTGCTTGCCATCTAGTGGCCGCTTTAATTTACTCTTTTATTAATAATAGTAGAAGAAGAAAGTTAAACAGGAAGTTGTTGTTCAGGCCTCACTTCAGCAAAATGGCCGCTCTTCTGTTCTGGTGTTTCTGTTTTGGTGTTTGTTTAAGCATTGTCTGTAACTGTTACATGGTAAAACATAATTATACACCTATAATATTTCTTTCTGTGTTTGAAATGTTCTCGTTAGCACGTTTTTGGTGTGTTATTACTATGTAAATTTACCAACTATTCATATGCTATTTTAGAGATGCTAATCGTTATGCTAACTACTTAGATTCACTGACTGTAACTTTAACTGTTGGTGCTATTTAGAATTTGTAAATATTATCTGGCACTGATATTAATAGTCATTTCTGTATGTGTTTATTGTTGCAGTTTCACAAAAGTTGGAACCAGTACATTTCACCAAAGTCATCTGCTGTCTGTGAAGTTTCTTCTGGGTCCATGTTTAGCTGTTTGGAAAGAAAGTGCAGCATCTAGCGAGGCCATTTGCATTCTGACTCTGGCTCCAATTGACTTTACATTGGAATATTGTCACCCTTCGCCAACTGCTGCAGTGAGCCTCGTCATTTTGGTCTTAAAATGTTCGTCTTAACCCGCTTTACATGATTGGGGTGTTTTTATTTCATTTTTTCTGTGAATAAATTCTTTCCTATAACTGCTAGCCTCATGAGCTTCATTTGACTGGCGCCAAACTCTATGGGTGACGTCAGACTCCCTTAGTTCACTTCTTTATACACTCTATGGGATAAACCAGAGCTGAACCAGGATTAAACCAGGACTAGAGCAGAACTAAAACAGAATTAAATCATGACTAAACCGGGGTCAATCCAGGACTAAATCAGGACTGTAGAACTGTCTGAGAATTTGACTTGTCATAAACCAGATCTCCAACAGACCTTGAACTCGTACGACCATCTGTACGTGCCCCACATTTTGAGAACCCCCCTGCGTAACAAATGACAGTTCGGTAAAGGACAGTTCAGTCAATGGGAAGAGAAGAAGAATCACCAACACAATAGACTGTGTACACGTTTACACTACAAGATGTGCGCAGTGCCAAAGCCAGACAGAAAGATAAAGACTTTTTTTAGGATCAGATTTATAAGTCCTGCAGAGAGGAGGGAAACTGGGGATATTGTTTGACAGTGGAAAACAAACTGCTCGATAAATTATCTGGAAAAATGCACGCACAGCCCACACTCACTCCCTCCAATGTCATTACAAACACATTTGGTTAGTTCTCGGTTCACTTAATCCAAAACCAAGCATAAAATCAACTGTACAACATGGTAAGATAGAATAATTGCCAGGTATAACGCAATATCAATTTCAACGCAGGCTAATTAGCAGGCTAACAAGTGATCTATACATAATTAGCATGTTAGCGGCTAATTAGAGGGATAACTGAGATCATTAGAGGTATGTGTTTCTTATGTAATTACATTTACTCAGACATAAATATATTATAAAGGGGAATGTAGCTAGTTATTTTAAATCTTATTATGTGGAAGACATTAAAGTGACACTGGCAATGAGTCATAATTCCAATTATTAGATTTTATTAATGAACCATTGGATTTCTATAGCACTTTTCAAGCCACGCAAAGTGTTTACAGAGCATTATACATTCACTCCGCACTGGGCCAGACTGACTGAAACAAGGCTGCCACTCTGTGCCACCTGCACCTCTGACTCGCCAAAACTCATGCTCACACCACTGTCACACTAGGCAATGTGGGTGAAGTGTCTTGCTTAAAGATACAATAATGGTTTTGCCACTGGAGGCCCACGGTGGCACCTGGAATTCCCAGAGGTCTCCCATCCAAGCACAAACCAGGCCCGGCCCAGCTTAGCTGAGATCTGACGAGATCAGGCTTTGACAAGTCGATATGGATTTGTGAACATTTGTGAATGAAACAAAACACAACTCGAGGTGTGTTTGATGATATAACATGGTTTAAAGCTCACAAGAATCCATTTTGTATAATATATGACTTTTAAATAAACCAATGTGATTCTGAAGTTTAATTTTCCAAATACAAAATAAAATAAAAATATAGCCGCACAGTAATTTATTGTGTTTGTACTAGTTGAAATGAAAGTGGGTCGCTGCATGGATACAGAGATTGTTCAAATCTGGGACATACTGTATTTGTTTTCACAGATATTCTTTTCAGACAAGAGATTTTAAAATAGCACAAAGTTAACCACAGTATATGACCTGGAATTGTGTTATGTTTCATTCACGCATGTTTGATTAACTATTATTAGTCTATCTACATCTCCAAAGCTCAAAATGCTCTGTTCCACCTTGTGATGTCATCAAGCGGTAGTTTTCAAGCTTTTTTTAACTTTTGGTTTAGTAGAAAATGGCAATTCCAGGCAATTCCAATTTGCCAAATGATTCTAGTGAAGATGTATGGAGTTTTAATGCACAATGAAGCACTTCTATATTGCCACATGACATCACAAGGTTTAGTTTGAAGAACCAAATGCCTAAATATGCAGGATTTGTGTGAGATTTGTGTGTGACTGAAACAAAACACAACTCCAGGTATGTTTGTGATGAGGAAACAACATTATAACAACACAGATCAGAAAACAGTGTAATGTGGCCCTTGAAATAGCAAACTTTGGGTATACCAAAACTCCGTGTATATTTGGAATGATATATACGTATGAACGCTGGTGATTACTGCTCTGTGTAAATATCCAGACTGCAAATGTCATTACGGTGGATGAGAATAGCTCCTAAGATGATCCCCGCACAGGAAATATGTGACGCTCAGATTGGGTTTGTGAGCGAGAGGCTTCAAAACAAACTCAATTATTATAACTGCAGATTCCCCACAGACACATTAGGCAAATTTTAGCAGTGGGAGATACCTGTGTGAAGAATACTGAATAGAAATGCATCAAATAATATGGCTCTAAAAACATATGAATTGTGAATAAAATAAGACAAGTTTAAAGGCGTATTAGGTGTATTGGGTTGGGGGCCAGTCATTCGCTTGTTTCTATTGGTATGTCATTGTTCTGCCTGGAATGTTCCACAGCATGACATTAAACGGATTACATTTATTCAATTACAGGTGGTTTTAAAGCTCAAAAATACCTAGAAAAACAGGTATTCTGACTGTAAGCGGGGTTGCCTCTCTAAAGACCTGACCTATAACTTGGTCTGGTTTGGTCTCCACGAAGATAGAAAGGTTTAATGCCATACTGTGAAACATTCCAGACAAAGCAAAAACATCTTCAGGGAGAAAAGCATTTGACAGACCCTCCACCAGAAAAGCTACACAATGCACCTTTAACTACGTGCACAGTGTAACTTTTCTAGTAAGCTTTTGTCGCATGTTTGTTTAGATGGATATATGGCGTATTGCCATTTCTAGAAGTGTAACTTGTCTGGGAGATTGATGATTTTAAAGTCATAGTGTGAAACTTTCCATGCAGACAAGCACCAGAAAAGTTACATGATGGACCTTTATTTTATTATAGAAAAAGTAAATTAGGGAGAAACCAGGACTAAACCAGAACTACACAAGGACTAAACCAGGACTAAACCAGGGCCTAAACAAAACAGACAAGTAGGCGTTTGACCATTCACCAGAAAAGTTACATGATGGATCTTTCATTTGAATACACTTTATTATAGAAAACATGTTTTATACCTTATTATCTCAAAAGTGTCTCCAATTGAAACATTTCTCTTGTGTCAGTGAGTGGAAAAATGATGAAATGGGGAAAGACTATTGTTCTAAATGAGATTCAGTCAAAGTCATTGTTAGTAATAGCCATTTGAGTGGGCTTTTCAACCATTTACAATGATTGTTTTGTGCTTTGAGGAGTCCTGTTTTAAGCGTTTGGGCTAACTACAGATTAACAACGGATGAAAGAATGCATTTTAGTTTTGACAAGTCCCAAGCTAACAACAAAATCATAATGCTTCAAACTGAGCTCCAACAGGTGTGCTACGCTCCAAGTACTGCCAAGTTCTACCACAAATCAAAAATACTGCTTGAATTTCAAAGTTGTCCACGAAAAAAGTAGTGAAATGGACATCTATAAACCCTATTAGAAAGAAAATGCTTGGTATTGTCATAATGTTATGGCTATTTGATGTTTTCTTTAAAAGGTGCATTGTGTAACTTTTCTCATAGAGGGTCCGTCAAATGCTTTTCTCTGTAGAGATGTTATTGCTTTGTCTGGAATATTTCACAGAATGGTATTAAACATTTCTGTATTCATGGAGACCAAACCAGACCAAGTCAGATCTGTGGAGAGGCAACCCCCCTCACAGTTGAAATGTCCGTTTTTCTATTTATTTGTGAGCCATAAAACCACCGTTAATTGAATAAATGTAAGGTAGACCTGTTTGATGTCATACTGTGGAACATTCCAGGCAGAGCAGTGATATATCTATAGAAACAAGCAGGTGACAGACCTTCATCTAAAAAGTTACACAGTGCACATTTAACTTAAGTGATGAAGGGTGTAGGGAAAGGTGCCTGTTCAGGGCCTGCTTCCCCCATTCTGATAGAATCCACAAACCAGGAACCTAAAGAAGTCGGTTCCGCCTGACTGCCTCTTGGTATTTACAACCCCAAGAGAACCGATCTTCGGTGCTTCCACACCTCCCTTCCCCCACGCTAGGTGGGACATGAATCAGAATGGGAAATTGACATGGCTCTGCTAAAGTGATAAGGACTGTTAAATAATGACATTCCTCATTGTGCTTTGAAGAAACAGACCCACATCATCTACATACCAGACCATCAGGCGCCAAGGCTTGGACCGGTTAAAACCGCGATGGACTGTGGTTGCCACTTTTGGACACTAGAGAAGGACTGGATTAAACGCATCTCGATAACTAGTTAAAAATGTTTTAACTGTGTTCTATATAAGGCTCATGTTGATACAAGATTGCTTAATTCATGTGTTCATAGTCTCTTGTGTGTATTTCATGTCATGTTCCCGCGGAAGTATTTACGGTAACTTCACGGCGTGTTTTCGGACAGATATACCTTTGATTTCTTTGTATGAATCGTCGGCTAATGTTATCGTAAACAGTTAGTACCTGAATGTGGGAAGTTATCAATTTAATATTTGCAAATGATATTTGTACGGGGACCAGTTCAGCTCAGACGCGGGCGTGCCTTAAATTTGCATATAACAACGCCCACCAAGCGCACTGACCAAAACGAAGCCTCACGCGCGAAAACTTTGCTTTCGATACGCATCGTGCCTTCGCTTCGCATCGCGCTTTCGCTTCGCCTTTCTTCGCTCTTCGCCTTGCCTCGACGCCGCGAGGACCCGCCGAAGAGGACCAGGGAAGACGGCCGGTCGGAGAGACCCAGGGGGAGCTGTAACAGACCTGGAGTCACACCTGCCGAGAGCTGAGGACCAGAGCCGGTGAAGGAGGCGTGGACCGCCCTACCCGAGTACCATCATCACGCCGCTGCCTGCCCGTGCGTGCGACCACCGCCGAATCGCCGCATTCCACACGGACCGAGAACAACATCGCCAAGTAAGGCTGGTTCTGAACAGTGAATGAATAAGGGTTGGCATCCCTCTTACGATTGCGTCCAATTATTCCTAAGGCAAGCGCAGTAGCGACTTAGCGAAACGCCATAACTGAGCTAAACTGAACCCCGTTTTTATAACTACCTCAGGTTGTTAAAATCGGTGCTTTAATGTTACGTAACCAGAACTTGGAAGCTGGTGTCTAGTTATTGTTTGTTAATAAACCACACACAAGAATTTGCTGGTTTCAGTGATTTTTCTTAAAGTTATCATCAGGTCACTTTTTCGGGTACGTTCCCTTCAGATTGATTAAATTGATAAGTTGTTGTTGTCGCATATGGTTAAGTTTGATTCGGTCAGAATCTGGTGCCCCGCAAATGTATAATTTCAATAATTCGTCAAAAGCTAAACCACATGCTCAAACACGCACATCTTACCACACGTTAAATCGCATTTTCTCCTACAAGGGAGTGAAACATGTGGTTTGAAGATTTATGTGAGCTAAAGGGATTAGAAGCTGTCTATCTCAACTACACAGAAGGATGGTACTTAGAACACTATGGATTAGAGTAATTTATGTTTATTTTAAGTTCCATACATTAAAAAACACTATGGCGTAACTTTTTTGGTAGAGGGTCCGCCACTTGCTGGTCTCCATGGAGATGTTATTGCTTTGCCTCTAATGTTCCAAAGTATCTATGGCATTAAACTTATCAATACAGATGTTTTCATTACTACTAACAATACCTTAAAAACATACAATCTTACTGTGAGCAGGCCCAACCCTCCACAGATCTAACCTTTAACTTGACTTGTTTTTCTCCATGGAGATATTATGTATTTCTATTCCAGTAAGTTTCCACAATACAACATTAAATCTGTTGCATTTATTCAATGAAATGTTTATTGCTGAGGTTGTGAGTGGTGTCGCCTCTCCACAGATCTGACCTGCTTGTTTGGGGAGTGATCATTTTAAAAGCATACTGTGGAAAATTCTAGGCAAAGCAGTAACATCAAGAATGAAGCGTTCACTCCACCAGAAAAGTTAGCGTTTAATTCATTTTCTCCCCCAGAATTGCAATACAAAAACACATTACTCTGATCCCAATGACAGAGTTTGACTTTATAGTAGACTGACAGTTTGTACTACGAGCCTGTTAGCAGATTTGGGGTCAGCTGAAGCAGTGGCAGCGTGACACAGTGATATTTAATGTTGTCATAGATTTATGTGAGCGACGTTTGGGAAAGAGCCATTAACTAGGCCATGATGTGGTGAGAGCGGAAATGCCTCCTCTCAGCTGGGCACAGAATCGTATTAAAGGACTTTTTATCACTGAGCTGGGAGCGCGAATGGCAAGAAATAAACTGAAAATGTGAAGTTTTGAAACAAGGCATCAAAATAAAGCTGTATCAAGGCTGAGCTGCCACGTTGCATTGTGTTGGTTAGACACATTTCTACATTGGTCTGAGAAATATTTCCTGTCTCTGATTTTTACTGTCTTAAAAACTAAACAAAAGCACTAGTTTATGTTAGCAGTTATTCCTCACTTACCTTCTGAGCATTCCCTTTATTCACTACAAGTGAAAGGTGCACTGTGCAACTTTTTGGAAGGGGGTCTGTCACTTGCTTGTTTCTATGGATATGTCATTGCTCTGCCTGGAATGGTCCACAGTATGACTTTAAACAGCTCTACCTTACATTTATTATTACTAGTGGTTTTATAGCTCAAAAATACCTAGAAAAACAGAAATTCTGAGTGCAAGTGGGGTCGCCTCTCCATAGATCTGACCCGTAACTTGGTCTGGTTTGGTTTCCTTGAAGATAGAAATGTTACGGTTAGCTTTAAATGATGACGGTCTGAACAGAAGACGCAAAAGTGGTGTCGCGTTTTCACTTTTTCTTGTGCATTTAGACAATGCTTTTTCGGGAGGAAATCTGCATGCATACAGTGACGCAAAAGTGTGTGGAATTCGATTGGGTATGCATGCCGTCTGGCTCGCCTGCGACAAACTGGTGCATCCAGAATTTGACAGAGGTAACTGCAGACCCTTCTCTGTTCATTAATAGTATCTCTGCATATTCTGTACATTTGTCGGGATGCCTCCTGTAAGTTTATAAGAGCTGTCAAAGCAGTTTGAAGATCCGACGCACGGAAATGGCACGACATGTTTGTTTCTGTACTGTATGTATATATAAATGCGTACACGACGTGAGCAGATCTGACCAGAGTTTTGCGTCTTGGGAAGTGTAGACGGAAACACTATGGTGGAGTGTATTCAACTTTTCCACTCTGGAGGGTGGTTTCAGATTTTTGCATTTTTAAGCCCCAAGAACGCCGTCACCATCTAAACGAAAGGCACTTCCAATAAAAGATATTGTCATTTTTACCTGCAAATGTTCTAATGTAAACAGGCCCTTAATTTATATCATTCCAGACAGCGCAATGCATCTTAAAGTTAATCAGCGTTTTTCTCATCTTTCAGAGGCCAGAGCGGAGTTTTGTAGTCATGGTAACAACAATTAGCATGCTCACGGAGCAATTCCTGATGCTCTGAGAGCAAAACGCTTTAAAATTAGATGCAGATGTAACACATGGTAATTTCATTTTGACTTCAAGAGCTATTTTTACACCTGTGCTGGGGCAAAACAATTTCACTTAACTACATGGAAAGCAAATCAGGTACAACTGCTTTCAATGGCACACAGTATTCTAGTCTGTTCAGTGTGGGTTTTACTGCGCTTTTCAGTGTTAGCCAAGTGATGTCTCAATTTAAAATGAATTCTATTGCTACTGTTTTAGAAAAAGTATAAAAGATTTCTTGCAAATTCATAAAAATGTGTCTGACAAGCTCTTTTTGATGATCTAGCTTGCATTATATTCAATAGTCTTTCAACGGCCCCATAATTACTGAATGAATAGCGCCTTAACTCACTTGTGGACTATGTGGAGTATGTCTTCAGCTTGGAGTGGCGAATAAGGACATCCCTTCCAGTTAAGTATTTCTCCAAATTTACACATCCGCTGGTGGTCCACAGTTATCACCGTGGTAACACCCAATCACAGCGGGGCACCTCGCATTCCCGGGGACGGGGGAAATAAAGCGTGTGATTGGTTGATGTGTGCAGCATGTGTGGTTTGTATGTGCGTGTGTGTGTGTGTGTGTGTATGTGTGTGTGATGAACTTACCCTCTGGATCTAACAGTCTCTCTATCCCCAGGTGCTGCTCGGCCTTATTAAAAGCATGTTCCAGTCGCTCAATGGCAGACGTCTTCTTCTCCACCGAGCTCCACTCAAAAAGCTCCGGTCTGATGAGGGGGAAAGAAAATCAGAATATTTTAATTTTAATTTTAATTTTAATTTTAATTAATTTAAGGTGCACTGCAACTTTTCTGATTGAGGGTCTGCCACCTGCTTGTCTCCATGGAGATGTTACTGCTTTGCCTGGAATGTTCCATGGTATGATTTTAAACATTTCCATCCATCATGTATTCATTGCGGATGTTTCTATTCCTCAAAAATACATGCTCCACAGATGTGAACTGTAATGTAGCGTAATGCTGTAAACTGCTCGTCTCCCTTATGTTTGGTAGGTTTAATCTATACTTTGGAACATTCTAGACAAAGCAATAACATTACCATGGAGACATCAGGTGGTGCACTCTCCCCTAGAAATGTTACACAATGCACATTTAAAATTAAAATTAATAATAATAATTTAAATTTTGTTGTTACCTACTACTATTATTACTTGTATTGGAGCTATGTGTAAAAAGCAACACTATTACTTGCCAATATCACTAATTACTGTGCTACTATTCTGTCAGTAATTTAACCCAAAATTGAGCTGACCTTTAGAAATCGTAATTTTCTCAAAGTGACTCTACTCCGTCCAATATAATGCATAATAATAACCCAATATAATAAACACTAATATTCTAGGCTTTCATTTGTTTTTGCAATTTTCTCCCAAAATATTTCCCTAATATTCATTTTCTCTTGGGCCTTGCAATTCGAGTTCTTTTTAAAAATGTGTTGAATCCTCTTCTCACAGAACAGCAGTATTGTCCGTAGTCCAAGTTGCTGACCGCCGCGTGGCCGTAAAAGTGCTTTATGTGGTCTTATTACAGCTCCTATAGATTCTTTCTTCACTGTTTAACGCTGTAATTAAGTGAGTGGAGCTGAGGCAGGCGGAGTTATATTTGGACGTGTTCACTCAGCACCCGTGTGTCTATGCTGGGCCTACTTTTTTTTTTTTACAGCTAACTCTACAATACTGATGTTAAGTCAAGTATCTCGTATATAAATGTGTACTATGGAACTTTTTGGTTGAGTGTCTGTAACTTTCTTGTTTCTGGAAATCCACAGTATGACATTAAACAGCTCTACCTTACATTTATTCAATTACAGGTGGTTTTAAAGCTCAAAAATCCCTAGAAAAACATGTATTCTAACTGTGAGTGGGGACCTGTAACTTGGTCTGATTTGGTCTTCAAGAAAATAGAAAGGTGTAATGCCATACTGTGAGACATTCCAGACAAAGCAATAACATCTCCATGGAGAAAAGCAGTTGATGGACCCTCCACCAGAAACGTTACACAATGCACCATAAAGTCAAATGAATTTTCAGCAAAAGTAAGTAATAAGAAGTAGCATTCAAGATTACATCGCTATGGCAACACGAAAAGCCGACAAAACACACATCTTGGCTTAATGTTTATAATAAAACCATATGCGTACATTTTATCTCGGAAGAACAAGAACAAAATGATTAAATCTAACTTACAGGATAATATGTTGCTATGACAACAACAAAACTCAGAGAAAACACTATTATTAACGAGGCCCAATGATAATATATGTCGCCTATTTTGTTTAAAATTGGTTTTATACAGAATTGTATATATTTTGTTCTTCACCAAATCTGTCATTATAGTTATTTCTTGTTACATACATTTGATGAGATTAGTTTCATTTGGGTTTTGGTCCTGATCTAGTCCTTGAATTACTTTACAGCAGACTATAGTAATCTATAAAATTGGTGTTAGAAAGCTGGTTAGTCCCAGCTTGACCTACTAAGAAATGGTCAGATAAAGCATCAATTATTTATAACAAAAAAACAAATCTAGGGGGCCAAGCACTGACCCTTGAGGAACACCAGGTGATCCAATGTATTATACTGGTTGAAAGACTAGAAAATAACTTTACAAATCATAAATCTAAAGCCGGATACATGTCCTTAGCCTACCCCAGCCCCCCGCTCCTCCGCACACTGTCCCTCACCTGTGACTGTGGATGAGGGCATTGAAGGCCAGTCCATCATTCCAACTGCTAGAGAAGTTCACCACATTGACCTGAGAAAGAAAAAAACATATAATGAATAATATTATACACCGACACAGCTTTGACCTCGCACGCACCAACAGTGGTCTTTACCTGAATTCACCTGATTTGAACATCTATATTATTAGTCATGTTGGGAATAATGTTATGACCTTTTCTTATTGAGGTCTTTGAAGCTTGTATTTGAAAATTATGCATAGGTATTTCTTTTATTTTTTGGCTTCCTTTGCACTGAGTTTGGAAAAGAATGCAATTTTCAGTTGAGATTCTGGTTGGATTTTTTACCGACTGTCGTAGGCCTAATGATGTTTAAACTTTAATTTAGAAAATGCTGTTCAATTACTTGCAGGATACATAACAGTTATATTACACAATCAGATTAATTTTGTAATAAGTTCACTGTATTTTGAGAGATTAAAAAAGCAATTTTCAATCCCTAAACTGGTATCGGTTAATATCAGATATGGTGCTGTGTAACTTTTTGGTTGGGGGTCTGTCACCTGCTTGTTTCTATGGATATGTCATTGCTTTGCCTGAAATGTTTCACGGTATGACATTAAACAACTCTGCCTTATATTTATTCAATTACAAGTGGTTTTATAGCTCAAAAATAACTTGAAAAACATGTATTCTGACTGCGAGCTGGATTGCCTCTCCACAGATCTGACCTGTAACTTGGCCTGGTTTGATCTCCATGAAAAATAATCGAAAGGTTTAATGCTATACTATGAAACATTCCAGACAAAGCAATAACATTTTGACCATCCAGCAGAGAAGTTAAACAATACAGCTTTAATAATTAACCAATATCGGTGACATGAAAAAGCTGGATCAGTGCATCCCTGCTAGTTTTATAGTTAATTTTATACAAGAAAATTTTCCAAAAAGCATGACCATTATGCGTGCAGGTTTTCAGACGGTATGCGCTTGTTGTCTATACTTCATTTATAGATAGCAGTTTGGCTTTCTCTAATGTTTTCTCTTTGAAGCCTCTCACTGATGCACAGAGACTGTCCCCTCTGTTACACGCTCATTGCAGACTCCTATTCTCACTACAATATCATTTATAATATGAAACTACCTATGAGGAATTTTCCATTGCATTACCTTATACCAAGGACACCTGCAGCTCTGTCCTTATATAATACTCCCTACAATAAAAACATAGAAATGGAAAATACTACCACAGTCTATCAAATGTTCATGTATTGAATAGCCATTAGAAATTCAGAGTCTCCCATAGCTCTTTAAAACTCTTTGATAGAAAAAAGCAATAACACAATTCTTGCAAGCTTTAGTGAGTTTAGTGACTATTTATCATTCAGGCTACTTAAAATATTTTCACAACCATTTTATTTTCCTATTTAAAGCTGCTGATTTTTTTTCCTATTTGTGTAACATTTCTGGTGCAGAGTCTGAGATATTGCCTGGAAGTTCCACATTATGGCATTACACTTGTGCCGTTTATCTCTATGGAGACTGAGTTACATGTCAGATATGTGGAGCGGTGAGCCCACTTACAGCAAGAATGCATGCTTTTAGGTCAATTAAAAACCCATGTTACTGAGGAAATACATGCTTTAGACATTTAATGCCATACCGGGACATTGGAGACACGCAGGTGACGAAACCTACACCAGGAAAGTTACACAATGCACCTTTGAGCTGTTCGTATGTGCGCTTGCATGTGGTACATATACAACACTATAAAAATGTATCTGTACTATATAACACATCCATAGAAAAGCACTATTGTTATTTATTCCATTACATAAAATAAAATCATTATGAAATTCTAAAAAAAAAAGGCCAATATTTCTATTTTATGTTACCAATTAAAATGTCAATACAGTATCTTTCTTTATGTTGGTACTGGAGACAGGAGGTGTTTAAAATATGGCAGTAAAAGCCCAAATTACTTCTCAGGGTGACTTTTTCCACAGGCCTCCTCTCAAAATACACAATAAATATAAATATGAAACTTTTCTTGACACATGTACATTTTTTCTGTCACTTCCTGTCTCTTGTACCTGGAAACCCTATTATTTTCAGTCAGTATGGGCCTATAGCACACCTCCCTGCCCTTGTTGTGGTAGTGCGCTTAACAAGGAGAAGCTCCGGCGGGTCCCTTCACTCCCACTCACTTCTCACTGCTCAGTTTGTGACAAGTGACAAGTCCGTACGTTTACAGTCAGCCCCCATCAGTGTCAAACTCATATCAGCATACAGATATTATTTACATACACACTGTGGCTCATTCTACTACCAATACTATGACTACTTCTGATGCTACTGCCATTGCAAGTATTTGACTACAGCTGTGCCTCTCTCAGGGTTATTGCTATATTATTAAACCTACTATCTTTATATAGTAGTTATACTGGAAGTAAGGCATAATGTAAACTCCACTGAGACTACATACACCATTTTAATATGTTAATTAATGGCAAACATTGTCTTACATTCAAGTAACATCAACTAATGGCAAGTTAAAGTTTCGGGTATATTTTGGTTATACTGTAAACATTATAAAGCTTCTAAAAGTACTAAAGACAATTTTGAATGAAATTTTATTCTACTTTTTGTCGTTTCTCAAAGTGCAGTGGTGGAAGAAGTACCCAAATTTGTTAAGTAAAAGTACAGATCCAGGAGCAAAAAAAATACTCATGTAAACCCAATGAGGTTCATTTGGTCTTCCGATAATTTATGTTATTAGGTTGTTTTTTCAAACCAAGAGTTTGTTTTCAACACAATATTAACACACCAGTGAAACCATACAGAAAACTCATCCACCCAAATAAAATAAAACCAGAGGAAAAATGTAATGTCATACACGAAATACCCTGCATGTCCTGCAATAAAACATACATTGGGGAAACAGGGAGGGTGTTCAGTACACGAAAGAAGGAACACAGAACAGAATGTGAGAGGGAAACAGAAAAGGCGTGCACACAAGCAACAAAACACAAAGCAGAACAGGAACAACTTCTCTGACCATTGTAAAAGAGAGAACCACATTATGGACTGGGATGGAGCAAACATCACTGGGACAGAGGAAAACAAACACCGTTGCTGGATCAAAGAGGCAATCGAAATACGGAAACGTGCCCATGGGACTATAACCCGGGACGAGGGGGCTTTTTTACTCTCACACACCTGGAATACTGTCCTGAGGAAGTCAGACTGCAGATGGCGCTGTCATCCTGCCTCCACCAGTAGAAAGACAGCGCCAAAGTCTGTATAAATCAGCTGAGCGGACACGTCACAGCAACATCATATGACCACTCACAGAGAGGAAGACCACTAGTGAGCAGTCGAAACTCTCAGGTATGAAAACAAACTCTTGGTCTGAAAAAATAACCTAATAACATATACTCAAGTAAAAGTAAACATGAACAATTTTACCAAATTTACCTAAAACATTTGTAAAGAATACTTAAGTACACTACTTTACTACTTTTAATTTGTTACGTTCCACCACTGAATTTGTGAGATATATTTTTCAATTAGTAAATCACAAAGGCTGCCATTTTTGAAGTACCATAATTTGTCTTATTCTGGATAAAAACTGCTAACCCTGTACAAACATGTTCTGAAATGCGATTCTTGTATTAGTCTGTCAGTTCCTATTTCTTTTGTTTTTGCCAATTCTTCTGGATGTTTTTAAAATGTGAACTTGAAAGAAATCCTATTATTAAAACATAAATCACAAATTCACCCTTAATTTTCACTGACAATCTTGTAAACGTAGCTGCCTCCAGTGTTCATGATCAGATTGTGTGTAGTCCTTGTGTACTTTTACTATGTGGGTGTATGTGATGAAACAGTAGTAGCTCACCTGAGGGTACTGCCTTGTATTCTGACGAACCCAGCTCAGCAGAATCTTCTCACTGTTGGTCTGCTGTAGGCCCGCCATCACATCCTTCATCACATCCTTTACCTGTAGACACAAACACAGCCAGGGCTCGGTCACACTGGGGTTTTCACTGCACTACAGCCAGAGGGGAGAAAAACACATCACATTTCTTACTGTTACCTGTTGGCTTTTGCATTAAATCCATGTGTGTGTATCAGCAGACTGGATTTAGTATCTAAACTGGATATAATGGGCCAAATATGTCAATAGTAGCTAATATAGGTGGTGGTTGTTGTAACATGGCTGATTTAGACATTTTAGAATATTTTTTACAACATTAAAAGGTCCTACATAGTGGATTCTTGTAAGCTTTAAGCAGTGTTATAATGTTGTTACCTCATCAAAAACATACCCAGAGTTGTGTTTCATTTCATTCACACATGTTTAAGTAATCCTTATTATTAGTCTGTCTACAGAAAACTCAAAAAGCTTAAAATGCTCTCTTCCACCTTGTGATGTCATAACAGCTACCTATTACCCTTTTTCAGAGATTGGCAAGGGCCAGAACTGAAATTATTCAAATTATTCTAGTGAAGGTGTATGGCGTTTAAAAGCAGAGTGGAGTGTTTTCTGTCTGAGAGAAGAACTCAGAGAAGTCAAAACATGTATTTTCTTTGTGTACTGTTACTGTCACTGGAAAAGATATTCATTTATCTAGAAGCAGAATATTATTTTTGTTAACCATTTAAAGCTACCAACTCTAATTAGATTGGCTGACCCACCCCTGCTGTATTCTCACACTTGACCACTAGATGATATCTACGTTACTTCTGTTTGATAGTGTACCAGAGAGCACAAGTGAGCCTGAACAAAGGCAAAGGCAAAGGGAGGAGGGACTAGGTTTCACATCTGCAATCCCCTGGCAAAAATAAAAAATAAAAAATGAAATAAACGTACAGATGGTAACTTTAAGAGCCGGTTAAAACGAATATTTTAACGCCAAAATGATTGGGCTCATAGCAACAGTTACAGAGAGAGAGGTGACAATTTTTCAGTTCAATTAAAAAAGGAGTCGATGGAGCCTGAAGTGCCCCCATGTTCACTTCCTGTTTGGAACATGGTGGCTAGTGGGTTAGCTATGTCCATTTATATCTACATCTATGTCCCCAACCAATGCTAATTTTATTTTTTATCATTAAACTAAACCACATTTTACTCCTTGTCAAATACACACTGATTTAAAATGCATGTTGTTGATCCTTTAGGCAAAAGTAATGAATATTTTCCAAATCTTTTTTCTCATTACATAATCTTATCCTTTACCCACATCTTCCATTTGTCTTAGCATTAGCATTATCAAACACACTAACTCCTCCGCCTGCTTTTGTGATCTGTTCTAATTCCAAACAACATTTCTTAAAAAAAAAAAAAAAAAACACTTTGAAATTCTCCCTTCAGAAGTTTTTGTCGAGCAGACCGGAGATGTTAGGGTGTAGTGTTGTGTTGTGTGTGTATGTGTGTGTGTGTGGATCAGGAGTGAGTGACAGTTCTGGAGCAGTGTGCAGGGCTGGGTGGCCGCCTCTGCATTACTGATGTACCTCCACTACCACAGTACCTGCTGCCAAAGAGCTTTCCAGCCCTCACCTTGTTTATTTAGGCTGCTTCTACTGCTTTTGGGCACCTCTGCGTCCTTGATGTTATACACCCCCCACACCCCTCTTTGGTAACAGGTTTTCATTCGTCCTCTCATTCAGTCATTCTTTTTTGTTTTAAAACTGCTATTGCAAATCAAATATCTATAATTACAACAGTCTGGGATGTGTTTTTTTTTTTTTTTTTGTCTCAACAGTGGTAGATGATGTAATAATTTTGTTACTTAAGTAAAAGTACAGATACTGGAGAAAAAAAATAGTACCTGTTAAAATGTACTTAAAGAGTAAAAAGTAATATTTGAAACAACTGAAGTAGAAAGTACAGATACCTGCTCTCAAAAAGTATCTACTTTAAAATTAAGTTACGTATACATTTTAGGTATTTGTACTTTACTTAAGTATACAGTACTAGACTACTTTTACTTTATTACGAGTCTAAATAAAGGAAAGATGGTGACGTGAGCTTATACATGGAATGAGTGACAGAAAAAGCAAACCGATTCACTTTTCTATGGCTCCTTTGATTAAAGATGTATGGTGTTACTTTTTGATGGAGGTCCGCCACCTGCCTGTCTCTATGGAGATGGAATTGCTTTGCCTGAATTTTCTTGCTTGTCTTGCTTTTGTCTTGTATTTTTATTGAAAAAAATATCATCTTTGAAACAGTGGCCTCATACTGTAGCAGTGTATTATCTAGAGAAACTGTGGAGTTTGCCAAAAACCAACAGTTTTGAACAAAATCTGCCATGTAATTTGGCAGCTGTGCAAAACGTCCATGGAAATATATCAGCCAAAACAACATTAAAAAGTGCTCCACATTAAGCTTCTGGATCAGCACAGTAAATACATCACTCTATAGTGTCACATTTGAATGATTGCTAGGTTTAAAAATGTGCTATAAAAATATACTAGATTTCTACATTTGCATTTGTTTTGTACATTATTTATGCCTTATGTGACAACAGTCTCTTGTCATTTTGCTACTTATTTAGAATGTCTTATTAACATTTATATTTTTGCTCTTTGTTATTGTATTTATTGTGATGTGTGATCTACTGTGCCAAAATCATTTCCCTTGTCTAAGTCTAAGTTTAGTATTTAGCATCTTAAAATCTCAATCTCATCTTCATTGAACTGAAAATGCTATCTTGTGATTGTAAAATGCTTTAAGTCAAATGCTTTTCTCCATGGAGATGTTGATGCTTTGTCTGGAATGTTTCACAGTATGGCATTAAACCTTTTTATCTTCAAGGAGACCAACACAGACCAACTTACAGGTCAAATCTGTGCACATAGGGAATATTGATGACATAAATAATAAAGCTATGTTTGAACACCTAAATCCACTCTCTTTGCTTGAACTTGCGAGGTTTTGTGTACAGAACTGCCCTGTTAGACCAGTTGAGTTTGACAAAAGAGACAGAGAGGGCCCCAGGTTCGTCTCACAATAGCGTCTGGCGGCATTCGGTTTGAGGTGACTTCCACAAAAGCACCGCAACACGGGGCCCGGGTTTGTTAGCAGCCTCGCCGTGGTAACATGTGGCCTGCTGGGTAAAAAAATAGAAGTGGTCGCTCATTTGGGAGTAGGTCACTGCATGCATTTACACTTTAATTGGCGAGGCTGCTTTACAAAGAGAGACCGGGCCCACACACACACACAGCCAACACACACACACATACACACACTCAACAGAACAGGATCGCGCGATGAAGAGATGCCCTCCCAAGTGCAGAAAGCTCTCAAGATCATTATCGCAGTATGTTTAGCCATTTACCGCACCATTAGCTCTATGCCAAAACTAGCATGATTCAGACATTGAGTTATTGATGAGAGAACAGTCAATTAAAGGGCCCATATTATCCTATTTATTTTCTGATCCGTGTTATAATATTGGGTCTTCATTGTAAACATACGTAGAGTTCTGTTTTGTTTCAATCACACATGTTTGACACATAAGTCCTGCATATTTAGGCTGAGCTCTTTTCACGAACATTAAACACCCCGTTCCACCTTGTGATGTCATGTGGTGATACAGTAAGTGCTCCACTGTGTTTTAAACTTCACACAAGTTCACTAGAATGCAATTTTAACCTGGATTGAAGTGTTGGATTTTTCTGGGTTTTTTTGTGTTTTTTTTTTTTTTTTTCATACAAATTCGCTAAAATCACCGCAGTATCAGCAGCGGTGAAACCCCATCGTTACAGTTCTGAATGTGCGTCCGCGTAGACCATCAGGTAACAGCGGGTGTAAGGACCAGCACAGAACTCCGCACTCCATGGGGCTAACCACAGCTGACGCCCGATCACACTTTGCTGGCTGATTTAGACCTGGTTCAGTTCTGTTTTAGACCTGGTTTCTACCTGGTTCAGTCTTCCTGGTTCAGTCCTGGTTCAGTCTTCCTGGTTCAGTCCTCGGTTTAGTCCTGGTTTAGTCCTAGTTTAGTCCTGGTTCAGTCCACATATGGCGCAAAAGTGCACAGTTATTTTGGTGAGAGTAACTTACAAGTGCTGCAACAGTAGTGTAATGCCTTACATTTTAAATACAGTAATAATGTTATGTAACAAATTACGCTGAAATGACAGTAAGAAGTAAGAAATAACACATTACAGTTTTGAAGTAACTTGCCCAACTGTGTTTAGTAATTAACCATCATATACAGTATATAGGTGCACTTTGTTCATTGCAAACTTCAGTACTGATCTGTAATAACAAAGAAATCAGGTCCATTCACTTTCCGAGTCTCTGCTGATAACTCAGCTTCTTCACTGTGGTATTTCACTGTGGCATGCTGTGAAGTTTCATTGATGTGTTTTTATTTGTGTAAAATGGCAATGCAACTATTCTGAACCCTATGACCTGTCCTGCAGTCTAAAAAGTAAGAAGAAATGTAAGTAAGTTCAAAATACAAATAAGATAACAGTGAGTGAGAATCATTCATTATACATGGTTAAAAGCTCATTATAATTTCAAGTTTCAAATTTGACATATGTTTCCTTTAAACGTCCTTTAAAAGGAATGGTGTTACCTCTTCAAAAACAGAGTTGTGTTTTGTTTCATTCACATATGTTTGAGTAATCCTGGGTTATTAGTCTGTCAGCATCTCTAAAACTCAAAATGCTCTGTTCCAATGTGATGTTATTAAGTGGTAGTTTTCAATTTAACAGCTACCTTTTAGCTTTTGTTCAACAGAGACTGGCATTTCTAGACCTGAAATCATCCAAATGACTCTAATGAAAGTGTGTGGAGTTTAAAAACACAATATAGCACTTCCTATGTTACCACATGACATCACAAGGTGGATTTCTGACGAGGAAACAGCGTTATAACATAGATCAGAAAACAGCATAATATGAGCTCTGTAATTTAGTGTCTCTGGTGAAAAAAACCCATATAGAAAAGCTTCACTTACTTCTGTTTACTCTAGTTTGTTT